CACCCCGTGAAGGGATCGAAGAGGGCAGGGCAGGGCTGTTCAGTAAACGCCCGAAGCTGTTCACTAAACGCCGATTGTGGGGGTCGGGGTACTCGTTCCCCCCTTGGCAACAGAGCCCCCTGGGACCACATCGATTGATGATGATGATGACCGGGTCTACCGACGAATCTGGGGCACTCGTGGTCCCCCCCTTCCAGGACGCCCACAAAGGCCCAAGGGGTTCGCAGGTCTGCTCAATGACGCCCCGCAGCAATGACAAATGTGCTCCAGGCTGAAACAATACGCAACACAGGCGGCGTGGGAAAATGAGAACCCAACGCACGGGAACAGGAGAATAGGAGTGAGCCGACAGGACGAGAGGGGATCAAGTTCCCTATCCAGAACGAGTGCCCAACGCATGAGCGTTGGGAACGAACAGTAGCGAAGATTAAGCTCGAATATCATCACAAAACATTGTCTGACCGATGGCCTTACCTCGCCGTGGATATCCGTGACGTCGTGTTTGAGAAGTGACTCCCCGAAAGAGACCATCGCCTCGACACGGCCCAACGACCTCAAAACAAAACTCAGGCCAGCCCGAACGGGCCTCACGCGACCCAAAAAGCGCCACGGCTCCAACGGAACCTCAGGACACCCCCCAGTGGGCACGTCCGCGACCCAACAAGCTGACCAGAAGACCCAAGACACGCCCACGACCAGGGACGTCGAACTAGCCTTGACACCTTGAAACAGACGCAACGTATATGCAATGGCAGCAAGCGTGAACCCCGGGAACCATCACCAAAATCGCACAGCCACAGGCGAACCGGCTCCACCTGCCTCTTGACGCTCACTGTGGGAATCAGCGCTCCGCGTCTGACACTGGGAGAGTCCCCGAGGCACCAAATAGCATCAGGAGGTGGGCGTTGCCGCGCGAGCCCCAAAATATCCGCCGACCCCTTGTGGGTCTCCAGGCGAGTGAGATTGCTCCCCCCCAATAGTCCCCCCCAGGGACCTCAAACCGGGATTTTGACCCCCCCCCCCCGGCCTGGGCCGGCCCCGGACCGAACTCATCCGGGGCGGTCTGGGCTCCCTGGGATCGCTCTTGAGCTGCACGACAGCCCTTGACGCCTCCCAAGAAGCCGCCAAGACGGCCCACGAGAACCCCCAAGTAGCCGAAAGATCGTTCCAAGACGCCCAAGATGAGCTCAAAACGGCCTAAGAGGCCGCCAAGACACCCTACGAAGCGTCCAAGACACCCCGAACATCGCCCCATCCCCTGGAGAAAAACAGCATTTGTCACATACTCGCCTTTTCGGCGTTCACAACGTCCAAGACGGCCAAAGAAACCTCCAACATCGCCCCCGGACGGCCGAAGGGGCTTCCAAAAGGGGCGGAAAAAGGGTCCGAAAACAACCCATGAAGCCCGCAAGGCAGCCCAAGAGGGCCCCCAGACGGCTCCAAGAGGGAGTCCAAAGGGCACCGTTTCCAGCCTTCGGCCCCAACACGCCCCCAGCCTGCCCCAAGAACACCACAAGAGGCCCCGACGGACCCCTAAGAGAACCTCGAATGCCTTCAAGAAGCCCCCAGGAAGTCCCCAAGAGGCCCCAAAACTTGGCCCAAGATGCCTCGAGGCGGCCAGATATGGCCTGCAGACAGGCCAAAATGCCACCAAAACGCAACGAAAGAGCACCAAGAGGCACGATAACAACATCGGAGCAACAGAAACGATGTCGAGCGCCGTGTCATGACTCGGACAAGCCTCGTGACATGCAGTCCTGGAGGCGCAGAAGTTTATAAAAGGGTCGGCGGATGTGGCGTAAGCCTATAGAATCCACGTCCGGAGGTGACGTGCTGAGCGGCAGCGTTTTCTGCGGAGGCGAAAATGCAAAGTATCCAATGTATCCAAAGATTGCATAATTGCAACATATTGTATTGTGATACATTATGAGGTATCCCCCCCTACCCCCCCCCCCGCGCTACGCCACATCCGCCGACCCAAGCTGACGACCCCCTCCTGGGGCTCAAAAGCCTACCGAACCCCATGGACAAATAAATGATTACGGCATGTTGGCCCTCTTGGGGGTCCAACAAGGCCTCACGACGGCTCCAGATGGCCCCAAGAAGGGCCAAGACGGCCCCAAAACTGCCCAAAAAGCTCCAAAGACGCCTCAAGAGGGCCCCAAGAGGACACCCAAGAGCGCCTTCAGAAACCCAGATCATTCATTTTCCATCGGGTTTTGAAAGAGTTCAGCGTTCTCGCCTAGTTCGACCCTCAGAGGCCCAGGGCGGCCGAAGCAACTTCCAAAATGGCCCCAAGACGGCTCACGAAACCCTCAAGAAGGCCCCAAGACGGCCCAAGAGGGCCCCAAGACGGCCCAAAGAGGCCCCCAAGACGCCCCAAGAAGCCCCCAAGACGGCCCAAGAGGACCCCAAGAGAGCCCCAATGCGGCCTCTACAGGCCCCAAAGACGGCCTCCGAGCGGACGAGACAGCGCAAGAGCGCATTCAGATTGCCCAAGAGGACGCCATGAGACTGCCAAGGGAGCCCCGAGTGGCCCCCACAACGACTGGACTGCACGTGCTCCGGACGTGCACCCCGCGAAACGAAAGCAATCCACGTCCGGAAGTGACGTGCTGAGCGGCAGCGTTTTCCTCGGAGGCGATAGTGCCACGTACCCAATGTATCCAATTGTTGCATAATTGCCACATGTTATATTGCATTACATTATTATGTCTTCCCCCTACCCCCCCCCCAGGGGCTACGCCACATCCGTGGGCCCAAGATGGAGACCCCCATTTGGGGCTCGCAAGCGTACCAAAACCTATGTAAAATCGATGATTTCGACCTTTTGGGCGTTTGGAGGGCCACGAGGGTACAAAGACGGTTCAAGATGGGCCCAAGAGGGCCCGCAGAGCCCCAATGACGGCCCAAGAGGGCCCCAAGAGCGCCCACAACTGCGCCTCCAGAGGCCAAAATCATTGATGTCCGATGGTTTTGGCGATATTCCAGCGTTCTCGCCTTTGCGGCCCAAGCAGCTTCCAACATCGCCCCAGAACAACCCAAAAAGTCCCCAAAAGGGCCCCAAGACGGCCCAAGAGGGCCCCAAGACGGCCCAAAGAGGCGGCCGCGAGAGGTCCCCAAGGCGGCCTCCGAAGGGGCGACACAACAGAAAAACGGCCCAAGACAGTCCAGGACGCCCCCAAGAGGCCCCCAAGAGGCCCCCAAGGGGCCCCAAAAAGCCCCCAAGAGGCCTCCAAGAAGTCTCCAAGAAACATCCAAAAGGCCCCGTAGAAGCCCCCCAAAACCCACACAGCGACTGGAGTGTACTGTCATTTCCCCCCTGGGCGAATTGCGGCGCAGCGCCAGCCATGTGGAAGTTGGTCACGGCGGCGCCCATGATTAGAGCTGGCGCTGGAAGGGGATACCCATCGGTCGGAAGAAGTAGGTAGAAACATAAAGTAGGAAGGCGTTGGAAATATATTGGGTTTCCGCCCGCCTCCTGAAGAGGAAGGAAGAGGGAAAACCATGTGACTCTTGAAGTAAGAAGGCGCTAAAAATAGATTGGAATCTGGGAATCCAAAAATACCTACTTTCAACGACCGGTGGGTATGGGGAGGGAGTGTGAAAAGGAGGGAGGGGGGAGAGGCCCCAAAAACGCCCCCAAGAGCCTCAAAGAAGCTCCCAAGAGGCCTCCAGGAGGCCCCCAAGAGGCTCCCAAGAGGCCCCGCGACGACGGGACCAGGACGGCACAGGATGGCCCCAAGAGGGCCCCCCAAAAAACCCAGACGCCCCAAGAGGGCGCCAAGAGGACCTCCAACAGCGCTTCCAGAAACAAACATCATTGATTTCCCATTGAGTTTTGACAGATGTTGGCGTTCTCGCCTTTGTCGACTCCCCGAGCCCCAGGACGGCCCAAGAAGCCTCCGAAATGGCTCCAAGACGGCCCAATAAGCCCTCAAGAGAGCCCTCAAGAGGGCCCGCAGGCGGCCGAAGAGGGCTCAAGCCGGCCCAAAGAGGCCCTCCAAACGCCTCACTTTACGACCTCACTGTACGTACTCCGGACGTGCACCCCGCGAAGTGAGAGGAATCCAGCTGAACCCATGGCCCGCGCCCAGCGTTACCACCGATGCAGTCGTCGTCGTCAACGCGGGAAACGCGTGCAAACTGTCGTGCCCCTTGGGGGCCCCAGGGCACACAGTGTGCACCATTATTCGCCCCCCTCCCCGTCAAGGAGGGAAGAGAAGGGGGGATAATGCCCAAGATGTCGCTGGATCCTGTTGATACCGATCTTGGTCATGGTATATGTCGGCCGTTGCCGATCCGCGAAGATGATCCACGAGGTGACGCTGAGCAAGATCGACGCTGGCCAAAATCGTCACCGCGTTTCCGCGTCCAGTCTTGGTCATGGTCCCCATTGTCCTCCCCCTCCCATGTATCGCCACCCCCCCCATTACCGCCGGACCTAGGACAGAGGAACATCCTCCAATTTGGACGCCCGAAATGGGTACGGAAAAAAGGGCACAATGCCCAACACCAAATGTTGTCCCAAACCAACAGCGGCCGCTGTTGGGCAGGCGGCCTTCTGTCTCAAATGTACACAGGCCGCGGCGACACCGACAGCGAGTCCTGTTCAAAATGAGCACGAACCGCTGTTGGGCATTGTGCCCATCCTTTCCGTACCCATTTCGTCCGTGCCGATCCAAGAGCCTGCGACCCTCCGCCGGCCGATATACCCCCAACCATACGCTCACTCGGGGGTACTCTCCCCCCGAAAGCCCGAGCACCTCCAACAGACACCAAAAACATCAGGGCACCCTCTCCGAACCGACCTCGATCTCACACCTCGGCCCGACCGTGCGCCACGCCCTACAGTCATCGTCCTGACCTAAGGAACGATAAATAAGGAACGAAGCCCCTTTTTCATCCCAAGGAATAACGCATAAGGAACGATACATAACAAATAACGCATAAGGAACTGCACATAACGCATATAAAATCTAAGGAACGACCGATGTTCCTTATTCAAGCCGCTCACTGTAGCCGTCCCTCCATCTCCCTGCCCGGGGCTGGCGCGGAGTCGCCTCGGCCAGCGTGGAGATGCTCTCCTCGGTGGTGGCCTTGGAGGTGCCCCCCGCACGAGGCCGCCGAGGGGGGGCGCCGAGAGGCCGCCGAAGGGGGGCGCCGAGGGGGGAGCCGAGGGGCGCGCCGAGGGGCGCGCCGAGGGGCGCGTCGCCGCAAAAACAGCCGCGCCTCCTCATCGTCCTACTCCAGATTTCGTAATAAAGGGAGGGGGGTCTCATTTCGGGGGGGGGGTCTCTTCCAGGCTATCTTGGAGGGCCTGGGGGGTCTGGGGACGATGTTTTGGAGGGTTCTCCCACGGGGGAGGTCTGAAATGGCTTGTCTTGAAGGGTCCAGACCCCCTCCCTTTTATTAGCCGCCGATCGCGCGCCCTTGCCCACAGCGTCGTCGCAGGTGCACCACACCTCCCAACTGCTTCTCCTCCTCCTCCTCCTCCTCCTCCTCCTCCTCCTCCTCCTCCCCCCTTCTTCTCCTCCTCCTCCTCCTCCCCCTCCCCCTGCAAACTTCTCCCGTCTGCCTGCCCGTCGTCGTCCCACATCCTCCTCCTCCACCTCGGGGCTGAGGGGGCCGCGATGCTCTTTTCCAGGTCGCCGACCGTGTTCTCCAGCACCTTCTTGTCGTCCTCGGACTCGTCGAGGGACTTCTCGCAGTAGGCCTTCGGGCGCAGGCAGGGGGACGAGATCTGAGGCGGGTGGGGCGGCAGCGGAAAGGGGCAGCGAGAGGGTCAGTGGAGAAGCTGGGTGCGCCCTGGCCACCACTGCTGCCCTACCACTCGCGCTCCTGCGGTTCCACTGCGCAAGCAATCCTTCTCTGCGAGGCGGGGAGCTAGCCAGTGGCACGATGACCACTTTCGAGGGGATCGATATTCGGGGACCTCAGAAAGCGGTGGATCTGTATATGTCGGCGGTGGACAAACCTCTCTTTAGCAAACCTCCCCTTAGGGAAAGCGGCCTGGGACCGAAACCGACGGGCCTGGACCCGCAACAACGACGGCCGCGACGCCCTTTCCGCGAACAGAAAACGGCCAATTCCTTAATCGATGTGTCAGGGTAGAAGGTCGATCCACCTCCGAATATGCTTGCCCCGCCCAGGGCCCTCCCTCTGTGCCCCCTCGCCTACCGAGGCCCCCGAGGCTCGAATCCTCAAGCAGTGGTTATGGATGGCTGAACCCCCGCCGCTGATTCTCCTCTCGTCAGTGAGGCGCAACGCTAGGGGGGGATGGGCATGGGGGGGATGCATCGACTTGGAATCGGCGATACATCGTCGATAGATCGGCGATAGGCCTCCGATAATGAATCCGCAGCTTCCTGGGCAGGTTGGGGCTATCGGGCCCCTATCAGCGCTCAGTGGGCGATTGGGGGTCGATGCGTCCCCCCCTATGCCTATCCCCCCTATCGTTGCCCCTGAGTCAAGCCGGAGGCCAGGTCGAGCAACGATCCACGAGTGGCACTCGCATCCTCCGCTGCTCCAGAAAAGGAAGGCGGGGACAGCAGGGAGTCCGTCCGGGAGCGGGGGGGGGGCCAGAGAGAGGGGGGGTGCGCAGATCGTGGCCCGAGGCACGTGCGCGGGCGAGGGGCACCAAAGGTCGTACACAAAGGAGGGGCCATGAGATCTGGGGAGGCACCACGGCCCTGCCCGTGAGATCCACATCCTCCCACAACCTATGATCATCGCCCCCCACTCGGACGCCCCCGAGCATGGGGCCCGCCGGGCGCCAGAGAACATGAGCCTGGCGTGCCTCTCCGGGCGGGGACGAGCGCGCTGTCCGGGTCAGCAGAGCGGCCGCCCGGAACCAGCGGGACTTCCTCCGCCCCCTCTGCCTCCAGGCCACCCGACTTCGCGCACCGCACCCTGCGATGCGCGACTATCTTCGCGCCCTCGCGTCCCCGCGGCCGCGACCTGGGAGAAGGGCGGCCGCTCGTCCCAGGGCGGCACGCGCGCAGCGCGACATCCTGGCGGCCCCGCTGGTGACCCAGCATGCCCCCTCAACCGTCTGATCTATCGTCGCCTTCCTGTTCTTAGTGTTATCTGTGTTATTGAGATTCTTCGTATGTTGCATATCTGCCGTGCCCTTTCCTCGATAGTTGTCTTCCAGACTCGGTCTTCACCCTTGGGCTGCAGGACCATCATGGCCCTCGCTGGTGGCTCTGCGCAGCGGCAGCGGTGCAGGCCTTTCCCTCCTCCTCCAAGCCCACCTCCTCCCCCTCTCTCTTGAGGGGGAACGTGCGTGGGGGGGGCCCTCCCAGGGGGAAAGCACCGACCTGGAATCGGCGATACATCGCCGACGGGCGATAGGATCCCGATAGCGAATCCGTAGGTTCCTTGGCGGGGTGGGCTGGCGGGCCTGTCGCGTTGATCAAAGGGCGATTGGGGATCGATGCGTTCCCCACTAGGCCATCCCCCCCCGACGTTGCGTCTGACCCCAGCCCTAGCTCCCCCCTCTCTGCTTGAGAAATGGTGAACTGGTGAACCGAACCGCAGTCGTGCACGCGCCGCAGCGATATGCATGTATGTATGTATGCGGTGTGCGTGTGTGTGTGTGTGTGAATCAGCGAACGTGCGCATGCACTTGAGCAGGGACCGACCGTCCTGGCATTCCGAAAGTCATACCACGAAACCTTCTTGAAACCCAAACATGTTATGTTCAAACAAGACGGTCCCAGCCAGAAATGTTCTAAGAACATTTCGTGGGAACCCCAAAAGGTTCTCAGAACATTGTTTGGTGGGGCGATAGGCGAGCCGGGACGCTTCGCCACTGCTTGATACACGCACATCCGCTACCGTGCAGCTAGGCACGGAGTGGGCGCGTCCTCGGGTCCTCTGCCTAGTCCCCGAGGGGCTCGGACCCCAGAGTCCCAGATCCTCTCTGACTCGGCGCGGTTCTTCTAGGCTTAGGTCGGGCCTGTCCTCCTACATGGGGATTTTCGACGAAAAATAAAACATACATCAAAAATATTCAAATGATGCCCCAAAATACTCAAAAAATAGTCCACTATTGTTTGACTATTTTTGAATATTCCCCCTGTGGAGGGACAAGCCCGACTGAACCCCAGGCTCGGGCGCGAAGCGCATCTTCCCGCGTGATTTTTTGGAGCTAGGCGGCGGGCTCCAAGACGGGCCAGGACGGCCCCAAGACGCCCTCAAGACGGTCCATGCGGGCCCCATGACGCCCAAAGACCGCAGCAAGACGCCACGAGAGAGCCCGACCAGCCTTCGCAAGAGGGCCCCCAGAGGGCAACCTCATTGATTTTCGAAGAATGTGTTCCAATAATTCACGGGCCCTCGACGTTTCGAGCTCCCGACGCTCCCAGACGGCCCGAGAAGCCCCAAGGACCGCCCCAAGACTGCCTGAGAGGCCCCCAGGAGGGCCCCAAGACGGCCAAAGAGCGCCCCAAGACGGCCCAAGAGGCGCCCAAGGAGGCCCGGGATGGCACCAAACGGGGCCCCAGAGAAGGAACCCAAACCGAAACTCCGAGCCTCCCGCCCCAAGAGGCCCCGAGGAGGCCAAAAGAGGCGCCCAAGAGGCCCCGAAGAGGCCCAAAAGAGGCCTCCCGCGAGATCCCAACGAGCATCCAGTAGGCTTCATACCTCATCCCACCTTTCTGCAACACGGGCGCACACGACGCCTCGTAGTGCTGTGACGTCGCTGCCTTTTCAGCGTCCCGCTCCAGACACCTCCAATCTCAACCTCGGGGTGGGCATCGTGGACCTCCCAGCTAAGGGTGGCCTATGCCTCTCCATGAGCCTTTCTCCATGGCCCCTACAGGAGAACTCTGGAATTTTTCGCCGGGCCCGCTGCATCCTGCGTATGCGTTGACTGTATTAGAGAGGGGGGACCGAAAAATCACTCGGGACCCCCGTCCCTCTCTATGACGGGCCGTAGCTGCCCAGGCGAGCGCCAAACTGCCACCCAGACGGGCTCGAAGGCTTTGGTTCACGACAGACTACCAACACGGCACAATATGCCTCGGGGACCCAAGTGCCCACCCCAACAGGCCCCGAGAATGGCAGGAGAGGCCCTGACAAAGCCAGGCTCCAAGGGAGGCCACAAAATTAATGAAACACCGACCTTGTGTGTGTGTGCTGTTCGCTAGTCAGCGATCGGGAAGCCCTGGCCGCGACGCGCCTCGGCCACGAGCACGCTTCCCCCGGCCTGGGTGCGTGCCGGCCTGGGGGTGGGTGGGGGGGGGCTGCGTGCGTGCGTGCGTGCTTGCGTGCGTGCGTGCGTACTTGCGTGCGTTCGTGTGTGTGTGTTGTATGCGTTGTTTTGTGTGTGATGTGTGATGTGTAATGTGTGATGTGTGATGAAAGATGAACGTAAATGTGTACGTGTACGTGTACGTGCACGTGCACGTGTACAAGAACGTGTACGTGTACGTGTGTACGTGTGTACGTGTGTGCGTGTGCGTGTGCGTGTGCGCGTGCGCGTGCGCGTGCGCGTGCGCGTGCGCGTGCGCGTGCGCGTGCGCGTGTGTGTGTGTGTGTGTGTGTGTGTAAGTGTGTGTGTGTGTGTGTGTGTGTGCGTGCGCGTGCGCGTGCGCGTGTGCGTGCGCGTGTGCGTGTGCGTGTGCGTGCGCGTGTGCGTGTGCGTGTGTGTGTGTGTGTGTGTGTGTTGTGTGTGTGTGTTGGGGAGGGATGGCCTGGGTACTTTTTCCTCCCATCTTCCTTGGGTCGATTGTCGCTCCCCTCTCTCCTCGCCTTCCAGCGCAAGGGTCGGCCCAGCCACCCAAAGTCGGCTTTCTCCTCCCTCCTCGCTCCCCCGGGGGTCGTACACCTGTGCGTCGGCGCCGCTGTGCTTGCCCGGAATCGCTCGGTGGGCTTCGGTCAGGCAACTTCCTCCTCTCCGAACGCCTGTCTTGACGCTCCATCCTGCCGAGCCAACCTCGCGCCCGTCTTCCTACCACCGCCGTGTACAGTCGCCTCCTCAGGATACGCCATTCCTGGGTAGCGCTTGCTTGGCCGTACATGCCCTCTTGCTCCTGCACCGGGCGTACAAAGCCACTCTATAAACAACATCTGGTGATATTCATACCAACGCTCTGGGCTAAGGTGGTCTAGCGGATTCGTCCTTTCCTCTCCCAAAAACCTCTTCTCTTCGGAGATGGGATACTCGCCTGCGCCCTCCCTGCGGTCCTTTGGGGTGGGTTCGCGGTGTTTTACGGGGTCATCTGTCGCCCAAGATGGCCCCAAGAGGGCCTCAGATGCTCTAAGATGGCCTCCAAGGCAGCTCAAGATACCAGAAGATGGCCTCCAAGAGGCACGACGAGGGCCACAAGACGGCTCCAAGTGGTGTCGGGGGCCCAAGAGGGGTCCAAGCGGCCCTCGAGACGGCCTCAGGAGCGCACAAGAGCTGCCCAAGAGCGCCACAAGAGGCGGCTTTCATGGCCCCAGGGGGCGTGGGGCAAATCGAAGACCCCCCGCTTTTGATCGATAGCCTCAAGACAAACTCAAGCCCTCCAGGGCTCCCCAGAGGGCCCCAGGACGGCCCCAAGAGCGCCCCAAGAGCGTCCCCGAGGCCCCCATGAGGCGGTGTGTCTCCTCCCCCTCTTCCTCCTCCTACTCCTCCCCCTCCTCCTTCTCCTGACCTCCTCCTCCTCCTGACCTCTTCCTCCTCCTCCTCCTCCTCCTCCTCCTCCTCCTTCTCCTCCTCCTCCTCCTCCTCCTCCTCCCCCTCCTCCTCTTCCTCTTACTCCTCCCCTCGTCTCCATTATCCAGGGATCCGCCGATCTTTCTTTCACTATATGAGTTTCTCCGCCCCTTTACCCGTCAACTCTCATGGTCTGGGTTTTTGAACGGGCTGCTGGGGATATTTGTTTGATCGTGACCGCGGCGAGACAGGTCGGGCGACGTAAAGCAACGAAGCGCAGATGCATCGGCCTAAATTAGCGCAGAAGAAGCGGAATGCGAAAGACTGCTGGGGATATTTGTTTGGTTCGCGGCTCCAAGGCGAGGGACATGGAGCGAGCACAACGTCCGGGGCGCAGATTGCTGGGGATACTTTTGATTGGCGGCTCAAAGGACAGATCCAGCGAGCGGGAATAACGTCTGGGCCACAGAGGGAGATAAATGGCTGCAGAGGCGCATTGGCCATTGTAGCGAGTGCACATGCCAGGGACGAAGTGACCCTCATTGGGGACTGACGCAGGCGGCCCGACAGATGGGAACGCAAGCACAGAACCGGAAGCGGACGGAAAGGAGCAGTCGCACACATGGCGCCAAGCTCCGGCCGTACCGTACAGCACGAAAAGGCGTGAAGCACGCCGCACTGTGGCGGCACGGGGTGGCCAGGCGTGGCCAGCACCGTCCATGCAGCAGGAGGTGAGGCAAAGAAACCAAAGAGACACGGCGGGCGCTAGGGCACCCGGTGGCAGGAAAATGGGAAGGCACAGAGAGAAGCCTCACTCGCGGTGGCTCACAGGTCGCTCTTGGGCGTGAGAGCGACACTGCTGGGGATATGTTTTTGGATCTGCGGCCCGCAAGGAAGAGCCCAGAGGGCGACTGGGGCACAGAGCCAGATAGTTGGCGACACAGCCGTCACTGTCGACAGCCGACCGCACGTGCGAGCATGCAGATAATTTCCGAACTCAACCGTCACAGTCGACAGCCGAAGAGTCCAGAGAGCGTGCGGGGCACAAAGCCCAATAATTTGCGAACTCAGCCGTCACTGTAGACAGCCGAACGCACATGCAAGCATGCAAGGCAATTAGTGAGCATTTTTTTATTCTGGGTTCCGGCTTTAGGCGCATGGGGGGGAGGGGGGGGTCCGTCTCTCGGCCCGTAGTCAATGCCTCCGATTGAAGCATGTGGGGAATCCTGTGGGAGATGCCGATGAGGGAATCCTAGGGGAGACCCCCCATGGGGGAATCGCGCAGCGGCTGCGCGGGGCTGCGCCAAGGCTATGCGTGATTTGGCAAGCCTGTGCCAGAATTGCTAGGGATCACCTATTCATGATTCCACGAGGCCGTCGCTGGCATAACAAGGGAGGGCCCAGCCGGAGGCATGCTTTCTGGCGATCGGGTCTGGCGCCCCTGAGCCCTTTCGTTGTGGTTCCAGAAGAGTAGCACGATAAAATGCGCACAGTTGCACACATCAACGATTCGAGTTTCTACCGGGGGAGGGGGGGGGGGGCGCCGGCCCCTGTAGTTCGTCCGATCGATTGAAGCAGGTGCCAAAATCAGCCCGGAACTTCTCTACGGGGGGGGGGGAGGGGGGGGGGAGGGGCGTTCCGCCGAAAGCAAAAACAAATAATAAAATAATGCTCACTTAGCGAGGACGCAACTCCCGAACCTCACTCACGGGACCGCGAGACAGCGAGCCATCTCAGGTCCAACGAAATGCGACGCCGCCCTGCCCAAGGCCACTGCTGGGGATACGCGAAGCGTGAAGAATTCTCACTCGCGGCCTCGCCATTTGTTTGCGGTGTTCCAGCAACTACCGGTCCGCAACAACAAAATGTGTGCGTGTGAGTGTGTGAATATGTGTGTGTGTCCGTGTGGGTGCGAATGTTCGTGTGAGTGTGTGTGTGTGTGTGTTTGTATGCGTGTGTGCGTGTGTGTGTGAGAGGGAGAGAGAGAGAGAGAGGGGAAAAAGAGAGAGAGAGAGAGAGAGAACGCGTGTGTGACTGTGTTTCTCACTGACTGTTGATTGCCAAACACGTTGGCTCCAAATGGCCTCACATTCGCCTCCGAGGGCCCCGAGACGGCCTGGAGCGGCCCAAATAACTGGCTGACCAAGAGGGCCGGGAGAGGGCCTCACGACGGGCCCAAGACGACCCAAGAGCCCATACAGCGCTAAAGAGGCCAAAAGACACCGCAAGAACTGTCGCCAAATGACCCCCTCCCCTGGCTGTCAACCGTCTCCTCACCCTCCCTCTCCGTTTCCTCTCTTTATCCTTATTATATCGTCATCCTCTCCTCCTTCCCCTCCCCCTGTCCCTCTCCTTATCATTATCCTCTCCCCCTCCCCTGCCCCTGTCCTCATCCCCTTCCCCCCTCATCTTCGCTCTCCTCCCCCGCCCCTCCTCCTCCTGCAACATGCCCAAACCTCTCCTCCTCCTCCTCCTCCTCCTCCTCCTCCTCATTCTCGTCCTTTTCTCCTCCTCCTTGGGCTGGGGCTGTAATGCTTCGCCCCCCTCCCGGTAGCCTTCTCGCCGAGAAGCTTTCTCCCCCTGATGACCTGACCTGACCTGCCTCCTCCTGCGTATACTCCTCCTCCTCTCACGCGCCCCCGCTCCTCTTCCCCAATCAGCGCCATGAGGGGCCAGCCACGGCCTGACAGTGTGCACAGGCCTGGACGGATTTGGCGCCAGCCAAGGATATCATCCTTCGAGGGAGGACACAAGCGCACATCAATCTGAATCCAGCTGCGCGAAGAACTTGGCGCTCTCGCGCCGCCTCCCAAAGGAGAAGAGCGGAGCAATCGGAGCCGAACCGCGAAGCGCCAAGCGCGAACAACTCCGCGCCGTCGAGGGCGCCCTTGCTGAACTGGCCCTCGGGCGCCTCCCGAGGTTCCTCGAGCCCAGAGGTCTCTGGAGCTCCCCAGGGGAACAAGCCCCAAAACCTGCGACCTCGATCCTTCTCACCGAGCTGGCCGCTGCGTCTGGACCCGTGCACAAAACAGAAAAGCGCACAACGTGCGCGCATGCAACAAACGGATATAAAGGGGCCCAGGGACACACAAACAAACACACACACACACACACAAATCCCAGGCTTCCCCATATGTTCACACATCGCATGGGTTTCTGTCGTCTTCCCCACTTCCCATATTGTCGCATACTTTCCTGGGAATCGACGATTGGTTGTGTGTGTGTGTTAGAATCTACTCTGGAGATGAAGGGCACCCTCGATCGTCCAGTTTGGAGCCGGCGGGTCTGGAGGACGTGTCGGCCGCCGCGGCCCTTCCAGGAGGCTCTGGACACCCTGAGAGCGCTCCAAGGGCTCAGCGCCTCTTTGGCCCCCCCTCCTTCTCGAAGATCTCGTAGACATATATATATATATATGTATAGATATGGGGTATGATATGTGGTATACACATATATATATGAATATATATATATATATACATACATATATATATATATATTCATATATATATATACATATACTCTGTAAGTATAATGTATACGTAGATGTGGCACATGACTAGACATGTGTACACACATGCACGCATGTGCATCCCATGCCTCCCTGACGCTCGCCCACGCTTTCCGCCCAGGCGCGGGAGGGGGGGGGGGGGGACTGGGGCGCGCCGCGCGCCTTCTTCTTGTCGTCACCCGCCTGCTCCTCGCCGAGGAGCACCACCATCTGGTCAACCCGCCAGGCACCGCGCTCGGCAGGCTCCCCGGGCGCAGAGCTGTGGTCGCCGCCGTCGGGGACCGAGGCTCTCGGGCGCTCCTGGACACCCCATCGGCCTCTCGGAGTGCCCCCGCCACCGCGGCCGGACAGGGCGGAGGAGAGCGGAGGAGAAGGGAGGAGGAAGGGGGGAGGAAGCCAGGGGGAGCAACAGCGACGGACCGAGGGGGGAGGAGGGCAGAGCAAGAAGAGGAGGGCGCACGGGCGGGGCAGACGGGTGGGCGAAGCCCCCCCGCATCATCTTGATGACCTTGTCGAAGCTCTTCGCCTGGCTGCTTTCCCGATTCCTGCTGCTGCTGCTGCTGCTGCTGCTGCGGCTGCTGCTTGCTCCAACTTCTGCTGCTCCTCCTCTATCCGATTCCTCCGTCCTCACCCTCCCACTTCCTGCTTCTCCCCCTTGCCCTGCCCCTCCCTAGAAGGGAACCAACGGCATAGACATCAACTCTTTTGGCGCTCCGCGCGGATGTCTTGGACCTGCGCTGGACCACCCTCCCTGGCGCGACGAGCGCGCCAGGGGCGGCGCCGGGGGGGCCCAGCCGGGATCCAAGAAGTCCGAGCGGAGCGCCAAAAGGTTATGTGTATGCAGTTGTTGTTCTGCTGAGACTCCCCCTCCAAGGAGGATGATGTTGCTTCGGGTCTGGCTCCTGCGCTTACTCCCTCCAATCCTGCTCCGAGCCCACCCCTTGGAGGCAGGGAGGGCGACAGCACCACCACCGGCGAGCCACCTCCAGGGAGGTCCTCGATGCCTTCCATAGACAGGCGCGTTCCACGATTGGCAAAGCAACTACTCGCAAATGGCATGGATCCGCCGCGGGGGAGTTACGATACATTACATCGAAGCAGACATGTGTTTTTACGGACGTTTGCTAGTAGGAACTTTGCGAGTAGTGGAACAATTTCGGTGATTCCATTTCAGGAGTGTCGGCAAGACATCGCAAGACACATGGACCACACCGCCTGGACGACCCTCACAAATCACTTGCGCTCCGCGATGGTGGTGGTGCCGGTGTGCATTTCCCACACTCCCTCCCCCTCCATGTCAGCTGTCCAGGAGTCTCCAGACGTGCGGTTGTATCTGCTGGGAGGCCTTCGCGGGGACGCCCCATGACCTCTGCAGAACAGATCAAGGGGTCCTGAAGCCAGATTCGGCCCCCGCGAAGTCGAGGCGACACAAACACCGATTTGTTGAACTATCCATGCGAGGAGCATGCTGCGCGCCGTGTGAGATCTTGGTATGTAGGCACCGTCAAAGTTCATGTTCTTATGTATACCTGCAAATACGTATGAACAAACTATGCCATAGATTGAGGCCTTCGATGTGCGCAGCGACACAACCATCGGCCAACCATGTGTTCCCGATTGCTACGCCGAGTGCTCAAACCACAACGTTCAACAGTGGAAGTCCCTTTGGAAAATTCACTCGGATCTTCGTCTGGGTCTTGCATGCTATCTTTCCAGTTGTTCTGCGAGGTGGCCAGGTGTTCGCAAGAATAATCGCCGACTTGACTTCCCTGCCATATCGCATCTTCGCCGCGGCCGACGTCTTCGCGCACTGGCTTGCTGGTGATCCTTCTCCACATCAGCTTGATGACCACTGGCATGGGACATGCACGACATATCCCCACGTCGGAGCTGCATAGGTGGGCTTGCATCGCGTGTGGGAATGAGTGTGTCTGTGTGCTTCGTGCCTGCCATCCTGGATGCCGCTATTCTGGTCCCTGCTCCGCTCCGCGTGCCACGCATCCTCACTTGCTGTGACCGCCACGACGCTGGGCGCGTGGACGCCGAGGTAGGAGTGTGTGTGTGTGTTTGTGTTTGTGTGTGCGCGTGCGTGCGTGCGTGCGTGCATGTGTGTGTGCGCGTGTGCACTGTGAAGCCAGCTCCAGTTGCTGGCATCCCAACAGTTTCAGCCTGCTTGGACCTCAATGGAGCATCGGGGGGAGACATGCGCATGCACTGTGTGTCGCTGGATCGGAGGTTAAGGGGTGGGACCGATCTGTCAACGAACACCCAACCATGAACACAAAATCGATTGCGGTTCGTATCGCTCGAGCAAGCAAGGCGAAACGAAACCGCCAAAACTCCTGCACTACAATCGGGCTGCTGACATAAAGAACCTTTCGATACGGAGCGGAACCCGTGTTTCCCAAGCGGAACCTTGAAATCAGACGGAGCGGCCGAATCCCCTTCTAGCGGCGTTCCGCCATGCTATCATGCCTGGCCGTCGGTATTGAAACCCTACGCCCTCAAAATCATACGCAAAAGAACGTCCACACGCGCACGCAAATGTCAAAACCCTACCCACACACACCCACACTAGCGGCACTAGTTCCGCAAGCATGTCAACATGGAAGCATCAAAACACACTGACTTGTTTATCAGACTTGTTGCATGCACGCTTCCCGTGCGCACTGACCGAAACCATAGCTGACCCATACGACTTGGCAATCTCGGCCAGCACGCGTAGCCTCATCTCACCATGCGGAGCATCAGCATTGATCCAACATGCACCGAATGCGGGAATACGTATCCAACAACACCGTGCGGCCGCAAGCAAGCGCCGCTACGCGCGCGTGTTGAAGTCAATCCAGAAACCACTGGCACTCGAAAAATTGACGATGGAGCTTTTGGAAACCTGACGGCATATTGAAACGGTTTTCGCGTCCGCGCGCGCACTCCGTCACCATCATCCTCACAGGCGCCACCGCATCACCGCCGTTTTCGTCATCGCCAATCGCCGCCATTACCGCCATCATCGGTCAATCGCTTTCATCACCGACGCATTAACATCATCGTCATCGTCGCTTATACCAGCATGGGCGCCGTCATTGGCTTTGCCGTCGTCAGCGTCGTCATCATCATCATCATCATCATCATCATCATCATCATCATCATTGCCGCCTTTGTCCACGTCATTCTGATACAGCGCCTGCCCGAGTGACCGGCCCATATTGAGGTCCAGCGCGGCAGCGCGGTCTGAGGGACGCGCCGGGGAAATTCCATCGGTAAGCGCCATCGCGACCGCATCAGCTGCTCAACACCAACTGACCGCTCTGCGCGCGAACTCGCGCGCGCGAGCAGCGGACTTCACGATTTCCAGTTCTGCAAGGTGGATTGTACCACATAGCTTACGCTTGCACCACATAGCTTGCACTGGATAGCTTGCACAACGTGGATAGCATCACATAGCGTGCGCCAATTCGCTTGCACCACATGGCTCGCACCACGCGTACTGCACACCACGTGGTTTGCAACACCCAGCGCACACCATGTTTGGGGCCATGATGGCTGATATGTTCCTTTGTGCTGCTACGCTTGCGATGCTAATTCCTGTCTGGGGTCCAGGCTGGCCGACGCTTTCATGATTTGGCTTCAGTCTTTGCATGACGTTCTCTGAAGCCTACATCTTGAACAGAAACCGACCGGCCCGGCATTCCTATAGGCCTACCACGAGATGTTCTTAGAATCCAGAGGTGTTCGAATAACAAAATCAATGTTCTTCGAACAGATTCCCCATGTGTTAAAACTAGACAGTCCCAACCAGAAATGTTCTGAGAACATGTCGTGCAGACCACAAAAGGTTTTTGGAACATGATTGGCAGGACTATAGGCGAGCCAGGGCGCTTCTCCACTGCTTGACTACAACGTCTGCAAGATCCTGGAGCAGCTGCACGCGCCTGCGCCAGCCCGCCACCCCCCCGCCCGGCAGCCAGGCCACCCCTCCGCGGAGCGCGAGGGAGATGAGCGCCACGCGGGGATCCTGGGCCTTGACGTTGACCAGGGCCTGCAAAAGACGAGGATGCAACATTTTGGACGCCCCAAAAAAGTACGAACAAAAATGGGTACGGCAGGTTCGTGTCGTGTCGACCCCGGCGTTGGTTTTTGACACCGCAGGGATCGTTCAACCTTGAACGATCGGCCGTTGCCGCAACGTCCGATCGTTCAGCATCGATCGATTCTGGGTCGCCGGCGGCGTTCAACCTTGAACGTCCGCGCTGGGGTCGCCGCTGGTCGACACGACGCAGACCTACCGTACAATGCCCAACAACACATGTTGTACCAAACCAACAGCGGCCGCTGTTGGGCAGGCGGTTTCTGTCTCAAAGGACACAGGCCGCGGCGGCGCGGACAGCACGTCCTGTTCAAAATTAACAGGGACTGCTGTTGGGCATCGTACCCATTCTTTCAGTACCCACTTCGTTCGTGCCGAAGTACACGTCGGTCGGGAAAAGTAGGTAAACACACGAAGTAAGACGGCGGGCAAAGTGGATGGGTCCAGGCTTTCCCAGAGAATGAAAAAGCACAACACAAGTACATTGACTCTTGAAGCGGCAAGGCGCTTGAAGTAGATTGGGACCTGGGAATCCAGGAATACCTGCTTTCAACGACTGGCGGGTGGGTTCGTGCGGCGTCGGCGCGCGCAACGGTTTTTGACGCCACGTCGATCGCTCAACCTTGAATCGATCGCGCCCCTGACCATTCAAAGTTGAATACCATCGCGTCCAATGTCGTCACCGAGCCCTCGGTGCTTCCGCGTAGCAGCATTCAACCTTTGACGCCTTCGCCGGCGTCGCCAGCGCGCCATCGCCACATGATCCTACCGTATGACGTCATGGGATCATCGCAATTGCGTCATCGACAGAGGCGGCGGCTGAGACTGGAGACAAACGGCGAATCTCCCACTCACTTTGTCTCCCCATTGAGCAGGCGCAATGCCACGAGAGGCTACAGCTACGCAGAGAAGACAGTGCTGAGGCTGACCAAAAAACGCACCGCGTCGACGATGCATCGGCGACGTCTGGATGGAGCAAATTGGCATCCGGGCCGCGCCGCACCGCGGACATGCACCGGCGAACCGGCACGCCCCAGTGGCCCAAATTCCTCGGGTAGCAGAGCACCGCCCCAGCACCCCGGGGAATCTCCTGCAATGTCTGGGGGGGCAAAACAAAAGCAACCGCGTCCCACCGCGTGCCTCCGCGTCCCCCGGCCCATGAGCGGAGACTGAAGGTCGGCAGCAAAAAGCACCCTGTGAGGGCAGGGCGCGCGAAGTGACGTGTGCGGCCTGCGTGCTCTGTCTGGCTCCCGCTCCCCCCCCCGCCCCCGCTTCTCTGAGAACCGAGCACCAGCAGACGCCACTCTGGCACAGTGGGTTCGTGCGGGGTCGGCGCGCGCGCAAATCTTGACACCGCGGTCGCGGGCCCGATCGTTCAAAGATGCCTTCCGTCGGGCCCAGTGGCGAAATCGTGTCCTTTGATGCTTCTGCGTAACAACACTCAACGGCATCGCCAGCGCGCAAACGCCACGTGAACCCACCGTAGAACATCCCCTCTTCCTGACCCTCCCCTTCCTCCTCCCCCCTCCCCCTCCCCCTCCCCCTCCTCCTCCTCCTCCTCCTCCTCCTCCTCCTCCTCCTCCTCCTCCTCCTCCTCCTCCCAGGCCCAGATGGGCACCGAGCAGGGAACACGAAAGGAATGCGTCGCACGCAGAGCGAGAAAGAGAGAGAGAGAGAGAGAGCGAGAGAGAGAGGGAGAGAGAAAGCGATAGAGAGAGAGAGAGAGAGAAAACCCGAAACAGAGGAGGGAGGGAGCGCGCAACACTTCGGGCAACAGGGGAGCGCAACAACACCCCGGGCAACAAGTCTGTCCAGGCCACGAGGCGGCGCGCGCCCCGCAGGCCCACCTCACATTGCGGGGGGGGCGCCGCTCACGGAACTGTGGACGCCCGAGATGGGCACGGAAAGCATGGGCTCTCAATGCCCAACAGCAAATGCTGCCCCGAACCCACAGCGGCCGCCGTTGGGCAGGCGGCCTGCTGTCTCGCATGGGCACAGGCCGCGGCGGCGTGGACAGCGAGGCCGGTTCGAAAGGAACAAGATCCGCGGTTGGGCATTGTACCCATTTCTTCCGTGCCCATGTCGTTCGGCTGCACGCAAGAGTGACTCTGGGTAGGAGTGACCTTTGGTGCGCGGCTTTTGGTGGGCCGCGGCGGGGCCAAATCCTATCGCCCGAGACGCTACTCTCGCATCGCGTTCGGCGAACGGGCCCCCGGCTGGAAGGAAAGCGAACTGGGCACGCGGCGATCGGGCCGCCGAGGGCCCGCCTGCGCTCCCGTGGCACCGCGCGCCGATTCTGCACGCCCGCTGGCTCGCGCGCGATGCTAGGGGGCCACGCGCGAACCCTGCCCCTACCCCCCACGATTTCTGAGGGGGAGGGGGGGGGTCACTTCTTTCGGGAGCTCCCGCGCGAAGCGAGCCCCACCCTTCCCCCCAGAGATCGTGGGGGGCGGGGGCAGGGCTCGCAGGTGGCCCCCCCAGATGCGGAGCTTGGGAAAAAAGCAGCGGCACCGCCATGGGGCATCATTCGCAGCGGCTCACTGATAGCAGGCGACGGAGCAGGTGCCAATTGTTCACGCAGCTGTTTGGTGTGGAGTGGGCTAGCACTGGTGGGCCGCACGTGGGGCGTCGATGTAGCGCTTGGACAGCTGCTGCGAAAAGACGTATCCAAAACCAGTGTCAGCCGAAACGACCGCTGCAAACTGCTCCAAGGCTCTTGCGTTCGCTGGGACCTGTCGAGCAGCCGGGCTGACTGATCCTGATCCCGGTGACGGGAATGCGCTCCTGGGCGGCCTCCGACTGGCCGAGGGAGGGAGAGCATGAGTGCACGCATCGGGGTACTCCTCGTATGTGTTGTCTTCGCCTAAGAAACGACTCCGAGAACGGAAGACTGCTGCCTCGTTATCCTTTGGCGAGGCCCCTGATCCCAGTGGGTCGAGGTCCTCCCCTCCGTAGTCGTCTTGCGGTAGCGACCAAAGATCGTCGAGTTCGTCGAAGTGGTCTGGTCCTGGTGGACTGCCCGGCGGCGGCGCTCCTCCTTGCGCGCCCATGTCCAAACCCCGCGCGCCGATGGCGCACGGGCTCGGTATCATTTTGGAGAACTCGGACCTGACATGCCCGGATTCCCCGTGAGGCAGGTGGAACGCCCGATGTCGCCGAGCCCATTGATCGCGACTGCCGTGTAATCATGGACAGCGGTGCACTTGCATCGTCTCTTGGCCTCGTCGACGATGCCGCGTGGGGCGCTGTTGAACCGCGCCCCCGCGGCGCCGCAATCATCGGCGTGGCTATTTTTAGGTGTCTGCGATAGGAATGATGTCCCCTTCTTCGACGCCTTGGCTCCCCCGGGTGACTTTCCACCCCTGGAACTCTGTTCTGCGGCAAATAATTTGGAGCCCCACGCGCGGCGGCGATTTGACCCTGCAGTGGCCTTTAGAGAACCGTCGACGACAAACTGGTTGTCGGCATGCGCACGCACGCTTCTTTCTGCCGCGACAGCAAAATGAAACCTGGCGGGCGCTCTTGCCCGCTGCGCCGACGGCGCCAAACAGCGCGCGTGGCCAGCGCAATCGAGCCAGCGGTTTGGTCCGCAGTAAGCGCCGAAACCCGCCTTGGCCAGGATGGGATGGGCGCGGAGCGAGCAGGCGCCGCACGTGGCAGCGCGAACCCATCGGGCTTCCTCGTCGACGGCATATTCTTCGATGCGAATGCCCTTCTGGGCCCCCCGGCGGCGGTCTCGGGATGGCATGCGGGAGCTCGTCTGCGGTTGAGGCAGCCCGTGGATCGACGTGGCTGGGGCTTTCTTCCATCGGGCCGCAGCGCCCGGTGCGCGGCGGGAGATTTTGCCAGCGTTGCTCGGCGGTCGCGGTTTGAAAGCGGCCCTCTCGGTTTCCCGGCGTGGGCATCTCCCGCGACGCGTGCCCTTGGATTTCTCTGCCCGGGTCGCGGGGCCTGCGCAGGGGAAGGGCGTCGGCCGAAACGCCCTCCTTGAGGTTCTTTGCTGGGCGCGGTCACCCGCGCGATGTGGGCGCCCGAAATGGGCGCGGGACATATGGGATCAGTGCCAAACAACAAATGCTGTCCCAAACAAACAGCGGCCGCTGTTGGGCAGGCGGCTTTCTGTCTCAAGTAGGCACAGGCCGCGGCGACACCGACAGCGAGTCCCGTTCAAAAGAAACAAAGACTGCTGTATTGTACCCGTTCTTCCGCGCCCATGTCCTTCGAGCCGACGCGAGGTAGGCGCAAGCAGCGGCCAACTGCCCAGCGGCGAATTCGGTTGCCACTTCGCATATGAGGAGCCACGCGTTGGCAAACCCTGGTCGGCAGCGGCGACGGCGCCAAGAGCGTGCCCGGATGCTCGGGACGCGCCGAAGACAAGCTCTCCACTGCGACGCCCGAATCGCGCGGGCGAAATGCCCAACTGGCAACTGGGCCCATTCAAGGCGGGCGCCGCATTCGTCGTTCGCGCTGGCCCTGCCGATCACGTCCGTTCGACTAGACTAGCGCATTAGTTGGCCGCGCCCTGCCGACCAGACTGCCCCGCGGAAAAACTGCGCATGGCGAGCTATGTGCTCTGTGGCACCTCAGCTCTGGCATTGAGACTGGCGTCTCGCTGCGCTCGCCCCCTGAACTGAATGCGCGCCTCTCTTCGAATGGCGGCGCCGAGTCCAATGGCGTGGGCCAGGGCCACCAGGGAGTTGAGCGCCCATTGTGAGATCCTGAACCGCCCTTCGGGCCGAACGGCTGCAAGAGCGGCGCCGCCGCCGAGCGCTTGGGCGCGCGCGCCAGCAGCGCACGCGCTGGCCACGAGTGGCCAGACAGACCGCCCGGCCTCTCGATTAAGCGCCACGCGCGCAATTGTGGCTGGGCAAGCTACCGCATGTGCTATGACCACCCACCGTCTTATCGCCGGCTGCCTGGCGACGTCCAGGTTGAGAGGGGCCCGTGGATCA